CCCCTCAGAGGGGCGGGAGCCGGCAGTGCCAGGCACTTTGGGGAGCTCTTCCCGGGAGCGGAGCTGGGCCCGCTCTTGCCTGACTCCTAGACCTTGCTGGGATGCCCCCAAGCCAGCAGGATGCTGGGGATGTCAGGCATGGCACCAGCCCCGCCCTTGCCCTCCTTGCCAGCACAGCCCTCCTGGCTACCCCGCTTGAAGTAGTGAAGAGAAAAGAAACCATACAGCTGCTTCCACTGAGGCAGCCACAGGCCTGAGGGGTGATTTACTGCCCCCCTCCCCCAACTGATTCAGGCGCTGTCGAATTAGACTCATTTCTTTTTCAGAGCCCCCTTTAAAAGTGGTACCTCACCCACGCAGCTCCTCACCTTGGAGAACAGGGAGCCTTTAGGATTAAGAAAAGTCATGAGTGTTGTTGTGAAGGGGAGGGGGAGGGTGTTGTGCCCCAGCCCTCTTTCTCTGTGCTACTATTGAAGTTTAGAGCAATACTCAGATCAAGCATAGTCTATGCAAGTGTAGTCTATAGCGACTACCTGGCAAGGGATACACTGTGACCACGGAGGAGGTCTTCCTAGCCGCACCGGGGAAGACCGCTCTCCTGGCACGGGGATAGTACCAGCCAAGGTAATGTATAGTAAACCTCCCACTGAGCTGCTGGAGTGGGAAGGTCTTGGCTTTAAGCCCACTTTATGGAAACGGGACACTCCTCCCTGGCTTGCCCCTGGGGCCTTATGGCTGAGGGCAAGCAAAACTCAGGGGCATCCGAACCTGGAGGCTTGGGCCTGCAAGTAGGATGCCCACCAAAGGTTTTGGAAACATCTGAAGCCCCAGATGGGGGTGGAGGATGTTTGCTGGTAGTAGGGCCACTTATGGTTCTGGACTGAGTCTCGGATTTGGAATTTGTTTTTGCTAATTTGGCTTGAAATATGGAAAATACAATAAACAAACAAACAAACAAAAACTGCTGTGATCACCAGGTGGGCAGAGCACTTGATTACCCAGGGACAAATCTCAAGTGCCCATTGAAGAAGACTGAGAGAACTGTACTCCCAGAACCTGAGCCCCAGTGGGGCTGGGGTGGCAGCACCCATGCAATGCATGCAAATGTCTTCAAAACAGAAGCCAGGGGGAGAATGTGTTGCTGTTTCTGCTCATTTGCAAACAACAGAATCACAGAATCATAGAAAATGAGGGCTGGAAGGGAGCTCAGGACTCAAAGAACCCCCTGCTTAAAGAAAGAAAAAAAGAAGAAGAAGGAAAGAAAGAAAGAAAGAGGTGTAGCCTTCAATCCAGGAAGGCAAAATACATTAATGCCAGGGTCTTTTTTGCCAGGACCATCGTCAACTAGATCTTCCCAACTAGATTGTCCATCCCAGGCCTTAAAAACCTTAAAGGATAGAGATTCCACAACCTCTCTGGGTAACCTGTTCCGGTGCTTTATTGCCTCCCCTGGAGAAAGTTTTTCCTAATATCTATCCTAAACTTCCCCTGCTGCAACCTGAGACCATTGCTCCTTGTTCTGTCATCTGTCACCACTAAGAACAGTCCAGCTCCATCCTCTTTGCAACCACCCTTCAGGTAGTCGAAGGCTGCTATTAAATCCCCTCTCAGTCTCCTCTTCTCCAGGCTCTATTCTCATTTGTCACGTAACACACACTGTGTCTGCACCTTCTTTGCCCACTTCGGGACACAGGGTTGTTTGTATTTTTCAGCCAGCCAAACTGGGATCCTTGCTAGATACATTTTAAAATGCCATTGAGATTATACTGAATCATACTGGATCAGCAGAATCAGATCTAAATTCTTTCCTCCAGCAGAATTTTTTTTTTAGAGACAGATGTGATACAATGACAGACTGCAACATATCCCTCCCTTTTGAGCTTTGCATATGATCTGTTTGTATTTCACTTCAGGAAAACAGCTAGATGCAGAAAGATGATTACTCCAGGGTTCCTAATAAAGTGAAGGAGCAGTTTCTCTCTATTTGTAACTGGAATTTTTCTTGGGCTCCTTTTGCTGGTCTGCAGGGTTGTTAAATCTCTGCCATAAAACGCGGGGGATTTCAAGGTCTGTGGGAGGCCCCCTTTGAAAAGGACCCCAGGGAAAGTCCTTCTAATCCAGGAGACTTGAGCCAGATGGGATGATATTGCCAGAGAGACATAAAATAAAAAGCAAAAGCAATGCAATAGACCATCTTAGAGACAGTTCACATGAAAAAAGAGCCTGGGGGGAGGGCAGGGGGGAAGATATAAGTTTTTGTGTGAATTTTAAAGCCAAAGGAGTGGTGTAAACAAACAGGCATGGGAAGAAATAAGAGTTTGAATGAACCTGCAGCAAGCTAGACAGCTCAGCTCAAGAAGTGTGAGCACCACTGGGCAAAGATAGCATGTCAAAAAGTAAACGATCCCAAAGGAAACACAAGGGAAACATTAAACAAACAGGGAAAGCATTCCTCCCCCCCGCCCCACTACTGACAGTGCACATCTGAGGAGCTTCTTTCTCACTTGCTCAGTCCTATTCCCTCCTGTCCCTGAACACTACAGCAGTAACATATAGATGTATTGGCCTGCAGTCCTAGTTTCTGGTGCATCTCACCCTGTCTTCTGCTTCACTTCAGACTAACAGCTAACTGCTTCTCCAGGTCATACAAAAGCAACTCACAATCCTATTTAGCAGACCAGAGTCAAAGGCAAGTGGAGCACTGTTGGGTATCTCTTCAATCAGGGGTGATACGTAGGGGGTGCACGCGGGTGCATGTGCATTCCCTGAGTGTGGCGGTGCACCCCCTGCAAAAAGGCGCTGCTGACACTTGGCGGTGCCTGCGGGTGGTCTGTGGTTTCTGCTGACTGCCGCTGCTGCTGCTGGTGGCAGCTGTGGGTGGTCACCAACCCTTGGTCAGCAGTCGCCACCCCCTGCCACCAACAGTACCAGAGGCGTCTGTGGGAGCTCCCCCACTTACCACCACCACCACACTCCCTTTGCTCCCACCAGCCACCAGGGGCACACACTGTTCATGTCTTTATTTAAAGATAAAGGGAGAAGAGAGGTTCAATGGTTAATTTCTATCCAGTGATAGAGTGGGGGGAAATGAGTGGCTCAGGGGGTAGGATTTGGCTGAGACAAACCAGGGAGAAAATCTCTGTCTTCACTGGAGGTAGAACTTGAAAAGAGACAGCATGTTAAAGAGGGAGTAGATAGAACCAGGTTAACCTTTCAAGACAACTCCTCTTAACAGACTTTTAAGCAATGGTTGTAGTTAAGTGATAAAGCAAGAAGATTTATATTTTGCTGAAGTCAGGATGAAATATGTGAAGGAGCTTGCTCCAGAGGGAAAGTCTGGCATGGGATTTCATGTTTATGTCACTCATCATGATGTGATATCAATGGCAAAGTTCATGCTGACATCAGTTATTATAACACAAATCCAACAGCCAGGGCCTGGGTGCTCTGAACTATACAGCTGCATATGGTCTCCTGCAGCAGTTAAGAGTTGGGGGGTGGGGGGCAGGCATTGGAGTGAATCAATTTGAAAAGACTGTGAGTGCTAGAGCCCTGTGAAATGAAAAGCTAGGAGCGTACTCAGCAGAGAGTTGGATGTAATATTTCTCTGCAACTGAAACTAATGATTCAGACACAATTCCTAGGGTGCTTTTGTCTATCTCTATATTTGACTTTATTAAAGAAAAATAAGTCACTGAAGATCTACATGGCTTTTGGAAAGTAAATGATTTCGCTATGCTTTATTGATCTATCATTAAACAACCAATGGTGGATCCTAACATTAACTGTGTATGGTTCTTAAAAACAAACCTATTAATCAGACAGAAATAATGTGGAGATTTTCACTATTGCAGATATTATCATGCAAGCATTTTGGACGATTATGATTATTAAATGCTATAAAACAAATATTAATTTTAGCAAAACAACAAACTGCTCTAATATATGTGTGCAGGCCGGGTGTGAGCCGGGCCCTTTTTTGTACTCTGCGCGGGCTGTGGCCAGCAGCCCGGGCACACGAGGTCGGAGAGAACGGGCGACACGCTAGAATTAGGCACGGACTCGTAATGGTAGATTTAAAGATTGTTTACTTACACCGAAGATGGTTGCGGTGCAGGCTGGAAAACTTGCTTGAGTTGCAGTTACAAACAAAACGACACGAACGATCACGTGGAGTTTGCTAGGCTCCACGGAAACAGAGCTCCAGATGCCCTGGACAAGCGCGCCACCAAAATAGAAACCTCGTAGATACGCCTTAAAAGAATTATCGCTCGAAGATGGGAAGAGGTGGGCGGTGGATCAGGTCGCCAAACTCCTCTGAATCTCACACAGGCTTTCTATTACCCTGCCGTGTACCCAGAGTCCCCACAAGATGGATGTGGAGTCCTCTTCGGCTTGGGCGGAAACCGCTCAAG